CAAAGATCTTTGTCAGCCTTAGAAAATTATTTTGCCATACCTATACACTGTATGAGGTAACCTGTTCCTCCTGATCCCCCAAGTGCCTGCCAGTAACACACTGCCTGACATCACCTGTGCACTCGGTACTACGCATAAAACCCAAGTGGCTCAATCTCAGAAAACTAATTCCAACAGTTTGGGGTTACCCGAAGTTTTTGGCAGAGTAAGAGCTGGACAGACCTCTCCTCACAGATGTCGCATGACAACAATCCCCATTTCTGATGCTTTAAACAGACTCAAAACAACAAGTGCTTTTTCCCCTCACACTATTTTGAGCTGTTGAAGGCATCACAGCTACAGCTCATATCACCCTTTCTCTGTCTGTGTTCATTCACTTGCCTGTTTATGTCCGTCTCCAAGCTCCAGCCATTCACAAAATACGTTCTCCAAACCAGAGAAACACAACTACCAAACTGGTAATCACCAATTACCTTTGTCCCCCAAATACTTTTTAACACTTTCTTAACTAAGCTTGAGTCAATGCTGACAAACTCACTATTTATTCCAAGCTGTTTATTAAGTGTCCCATCATCTCAAAGTCACCATTCAGATGATATTACACAGTAATGTAAACATGGTATCAACACCATTTCATTTACATTTAGAGCTCCATTCTCTACAGCATACCTCACCTGCCTGGCCTTCAAAAATGCACTCAGGACAGTTGCAGTTCAAATCCTTTTTTCTAAGAAAAACAAAACATGCAAGTACACCTATTACTGTGACTTCATAGTCATGCTCCACTAAAAATGTCACTCCAGCCAAGAACATACAGTCACATTTGAACTTTTCCAGTTTAAAAGCAAGGCCCATATAACAGGCTAATCTGGGACTAAGGCAAGGCCAGAAAGTAGAGGACTAATCTACCCTGCAGCTCTGCCAGTTCAGTTACAGCAGCAACTCCTTATGGAGTTGAGACACCTAACAAGAAAAATTCTATACGTACAGTTAAACCATTTCCTTAGATGACATGTGTTGTACTAACAAAAGGATTCCCTCCCCCCCAGACTGCAGCTACTCACTACCTGTTGATAAAGCTTTGGTCACTAGATGTAGGAACAATTCCTAACTCACATACTGATACCAGAAGAACAGCTTAGCCTATGGAATGGCAAAAATCTGTTTCTTCATTTTTTCACCTTGCACAGCCTACACAACAAGAAGCTCACACCGCAGCTCTCCCTCACCTCTAGGACAACCAGACCCACTCACACCAAGACCGCAACAGCTCAGATATACT